CCTCCTGCTCTCTCTCTCTCTCTGGCGAGCACATGTGCCCTATGCAAAACCCTGGAAAATACATTTTAAATTAAATTGGAAATTCTACACACTAATATTTCAAAAATCATTCAACTCAGGGCATGGCAGAGGGGCACGTTGGCCAGCGTCCCTCAGCAGAGCCGGAGTCGGCAGGGGAGGCCGCCTGCAGACTGCTGGAGGATCCCACAGCGTGGTTTTCAGCAGCTTGACCCCCGCGAGCGCCGACCCCAGCACGGGGCACGGGGCCTGCTCCCAACGAGGGCTGTCCTTAGGCCTAGCGTCTGGCTTGGGCACGGAGACCAGGGCATTGACACGCCGCGGCCAACGCCGAGGACCCACTGCTACCCTTGCTGTCACCAGGGGAAGCACACCGACACAGCCAGGGCCTCTCCTGGAGGAGGAAGTCGTCGAGAGAAAGCATGACAGCACTTAGCAGTACCCACGCGCCTGGACCGGGTGGCACCTTGGCCCTCACGGCCAAGCCCCGCACTTCTCAGCACGCTGCTTGGTGGCCCGAGACGCGGCCGAGCAGGCGAGCAGGAGGCCCAGGGCCACAGCCTGCAGCTGTCTGGAAGCGCGGCTTCCGGGTGGGGCGGCCGGAAAAGACACCCGCCCCCGCCCTGCCATGAGGGACGAGTCCACCCACCGTGTAACTGCACCGAGACACGGTTGGGACAGCGGCCAGCTCCCTCCTCAGTCCCCTCCTCAGCTGCGCCAAGAGCAGACTGTTTCTGAGTGCAGCCCCAAGATGTCCCCAGTGGGTGCCAGGAGTTCTGGTAAGACAAACTGGCACGTCATCCCTCGCACCTGGGACCGACCACCTGAATGCCGTTACAAGACGGCAATTTTGAAATGCGGGTGGCGGGTGGCTCCACAGGGACACGAGGCTTCATGCTGCTTGGCCCTGCAGCATCCCTGTGCACGCCCCGTGTGCCCAGGTGTGCTGTGGCCAGGGCTGGCTGAGCCCTTTCAGCTGTACTGTACTTGGCTCTCTGCAGAAGGAATAAGCAACTAAAAAAAGAAAACTGTCTTCTGTCTATAGATGGGATAGAGAGAAAGCAGGTTTTTATTTATCGGTTTCCAACCAGCCTCCCTGTCCAAGCTGCCGTCACTTCTAGCAGCAGCCAGAGGATCGCCTGCCTGCGGACCGCACCG